TTGATGTTATAAGGATCATAGGAAGACTATCAGATTGGCTTCTTGTCAATGAATAGGTATTATCTCATGTTTCCAATACATTTAATTTGAGCTTCGATTTTTGTTGTTTAATTGGAATATTTTAAAGAATCAACTATGAACTAGCTTCGGTGAAATGTAGTTAATTGGTAATTTTCTTTTTATAGGAGTGTTATGCATATCTGTGTACTACATAGAATGAATGAGACATTTACCTTATCTATATAGTCCAAAAGTAATTAAATAATGCAAAACTTGGGTTTCTGTCAATTTGTCGGCAAAGTTGATCGCAAGGTTGTTAATTCACTAATTATTGTTGTCAAGTTTTATACTAATGCTACATAGCCACTTTGTTGTCAAAAAGATTTGTTTTTTGTCGTATTTCATTGATGAAAACTTTAATTTTTCCATGAAATTATGTGATGTATCATGAAAACTAGGAATTTATCGAATCTTATTTTTATTATGTTGTTCAAGTTTTGAGGTTATGTTAAAGCATGGTGCTAAAAATTGCATATCACTTTATGCGATGGAAGAAAATATTAGTTAGACTTGAAGTTTTTTATAAGGTATCACGAAAAATACATGGCACGTAGTTAGCTAATGAGGTAAGATAAAGATCACTCACAAAGTTAATTCCGGGGGGATTATGGTTTTGTTTGTTTTAGTATATTTTGGTGTCTTGTTATTACATATATGAGACTCAATATTGCATATTTTGATTGTACAGAAACTGTTGGGATGTTTTATTACACGAAGTATATGTGAAAAAATGTAAAAACATTTGTATATATTGTCATTGGTTGACGTTAATTTTTTAATCTTATATTTTCATTACAAATAATGTGTTATGCAGATGTGCACATTTATCAACCAAATTTTACTATTACAAAGTGTTGGTTTGGAAAGTACTGTAAGTTTTGCAACCATTAATATATAGATAGATAGTTGTCCCTTTCTTTCTTCAAATCTTTTGAGTGCATGATCGAATAATATCTGTTGGAAGTGATTTCTATTTATTATTGGGTACATGCAGGCTAATAAATGAACAACTTGAGGTATGTAATTATGAAAGGAATGGAGCTGCTGCAGGACAATATTTACTGAGGAACGTTGATTGTCATTGATATGTTGTATCACAATAAATTGTAGTAAGACTTGACAATTGAGAAAAATGACCTACTTCTATATTGAAATTAGGGGTGGCAAATGAATCAGGTCGGGTCAGATTCAGGTTTGGGTCAGGTTTAAACGGGTTTAAAAACTACTGACCTGAACCTGACCCATTTAATTAAATGGGTTGATGTGTTCAACCTTAAACTGACCTTATATTAATCGGGTTAACCCGAATCTAATCTGCATAACCTGTTTAAATTTAAAAATTCTAAATTTCATATTGAAATCACAATTTTTACTAACAAAAATTTTCAAATAAATAATATATGATCAAATATATATTGAAAAAAAAAATATTCATAATATGAAACCAATTTCCGAAAATCTAATTAAAAAACACCGTACAAAATACTAAAACTAGAAATATTTGTGTCATATTATAAAGTCATAAGGTAACAACAAACCAACAATACAAAATTTTCCATTGTCATCCCCAATTAACAAACACAAAACAGGATCCACCACTATCCACCTCAATCACCATTACATCGCACCTTTATGAGTATCTTCGATATTTTCAGCATTGGAACTCATTAATTTTCCACATAAATCATCCAATTGATGATTCATTTTTCCTATTAGACACATATAGATACAAACACAAATAATTAGACTTATATTGATAGAACAAAAAATATTTTTAATTAATTGGTAATATATAAATTTATTACCTTCTCCAAATGTCCAATCTCTCAGGCAAATAATTGCCTCAACAGTAGACGGTTTCAACGAACTTCTAAAACAATCAAGGACCCTCCCACCAATGCTAAATGCCGATTTCGAAGCCACAGTTGATATTGGAATTGCTAATACATCCTTAGCCATTTGAGAAATGATAGGATAACGAATTGCATTAGAATTCCAATATTTCAAAATATCAACGTCATTTGTGCAAGATACTAATGGCTCTTCATAATAAAGTTCCAAATCATATTTTCTATTTCCACCAATATGAGAATTTGAGAAGCTGTCAAAATCCTGAAAATATAATATTAAAATAAAATAATAATTAAAAAATATTTCTTTCATATAAAAAATAAAAGAAAAATAATACAATAAAAAAATTATTATATTATTTTACCGTCATAAACTCATCACAGGATGCGTCAGAAGCACTTCTGTCTTGATTGCCCTCATTTTTTAACAGTTCTTGTGATGCATATGAAAATTGTAGTGCATAAGAATCATACAACCGCTTCATTTTCTCTTTAAGATTAAAAAACTCAAAGTCATAGTCTTCACCAATCCCATAAATTTTTCTCAAACTCCATTGAACAAATTACAACTTGAAACGAGGATCCAAAATCACAGCAATAGCCATAATTGTGCTAAATTAAGACCAATATTTATCAAATTTCTTGAACATTCTACTTGACATTGTCTTCATGAAAGTATCCAAACTGTCCATTTCATCTTTCAAGAGTAATCGAACCTTCAATATATTGGGAAAATACAAATTGGCAGTAGGATATTTGCTTCCAGAAAAAGAGAGGGTGACTTCATAGAAAATTTTTAAATATTTGAATATTTTCTCTACTTTTACCCACTCTTCTGTTGTTGGGCAATGCACATAATTAGCATCAACCTTCTGAAAATGGATTAGAGCTTTTTTGTAGTACAAGACACTTTCTAACATCAAATATGTCGAATTCCACCTAGTTGGAACATCTTGTTTTAATCCCCTAGAAGATTCAAGTCCAACATGTTCAACACAACTTAAAAATCGTTGCTTTCGACTTTGAGAACCTTTCCAATACTTCACACTTTCCCTAACCTTCAAAATAGCACCATCAATCTCTTTCAACCCATCTTAAACTATCAAATTCAATATATGGGCACAACATCGTACATGAAGAAATTCACCATCACAAACCAAGTCAAGTTCACCTCTAAGAACATCAACGAAAACATCATTTGACGATGCATTATCCAAGGTAATAGAAAAAATTTTCTTTGAAATACCCCAATCCTTCAACATAGCACATACTTGATCACTTAAATGAACTCCTGTATGAGGTGGAGGCATAAAACATAAGTTCAAAATTTTTTTCTACAAACACCAATTTTTATCAACAAAGTGAGCGGTTAGAGAGATATAGCCATCTGTAGTTATAGAAGTCCAACAATCTGATGTGAGCGATACCCTACCATTAATCAAATTCAATTCCTCCTTTAGTCTCTGTTTCTCCATCATGAACATCTTAAGCACATCAGATTTAATTGTATTCCTTGAAACTAACTTTGATTCAGGATTCAAATAATAAAAAAATTGTCTAATTCCTTCATATTCAACAAATTGAAATAGAAGATCGTGCTTAACAATAGCAAGGGCTAATAGTTCACGGAAAACATCAATACTGAATTTTGGTAATCTGTTTTCTAAACTTGAAGAAGATGTTGACAAAATCATTTGTCCAACATCTTTATAGGTACTCTTCAGACAAACTTTAAGATGACGACTAAAGTTTCTTGTGCCCATTGTACTTGACCCATCAAAACGTTCGCCACATTTCTTGCATTTACATACCAACTTTCCATTTTCATCAGGTTCACCAAGAAAATCGAAATGCGCCCAAACTTCAGAAGTAAGTCTACGAACCCGTTTTTTATTTTCAGGAATAACAGGTTTATAATTTTTTTTTTGATACCTGTGATTGTTCCTGACTTTTGTTATTGTTATCCCCTTCCTCTTTAGAAGAATCTAAGTGAACAGAATCAGCACTTTCTTGATGCATCATTGTTGTTTATATACAATTTAAATAAAAATGAATTTATTGCAAAAAAAAATATAATAAATAAATTGGAAAAATAATAATAATAAACTAAAAATCAACTCATTCACAATATATTTAAAATTATATTCAAAGTATAAATTTTATTTTTTAACTTACGACTGTGAAATAGTAATGCACAGACTTAGCACACAAATATGCGATAAATTTTGTTTTTCAATCTATTGAAAGAAAAACAAAAATAAATAAATAGATTCAAAGATTTACTATTACCTTTTTTTGGGGATGACAGACGGAGGAAATGGCTCGAGTTGTGGAGAAGAGATGTTTGAAATTAGAATGCCCTAATTTTGCAGAAGTTGGGTTTAAATATTATTATTTTCTTTTTATTTTTCTATAAAATGACCTATTAATAATTGAGTTTGAGTGGTAAAAATTAAAATATATATTTAAATTTAAAGGAATATACATTAACGGGTTAAACGGGTTATTTTTTGGTTAAAAATTTTAACCCAAACCTGACCCATTTAATTAAATGAATTTAATGAGTTTGACCCAATTATTAATTGGGTCAATAATTGGGTCAAAAATTTTAACCCGAACCCAACTATTTCAGGTCAGATTCATGTCAGGTTATCAGGTCGGGTCAAATTTTGCCAGCCCTATTGAATTAAAGCACTGCAGGGAACAATACAGATTTTCAATGATGGAATGTATATATATATATTTGTTTCGATGGAAATAAATATGTGCATGTATATATCTCTTTTATGGCATTAAATATGATATGAAAAGGGTAAATCAGCCGCTCCATTTTATATTAATTGTATATGTTCTCTTTCATGGCATTAATTTCTGATATGAAAAAGGGTAAAGCAACGACTCCATTTTATACTAATCGTATGTGTGTGTAGTGGATGATTGTTCTATGATATATATATATATAGAAACATAGTTACCATCCTCAAGAAGCAGACAATTCCAACTTGAGGAGCCAGCCACCCATTCTTATGCAATACACTAATTAAGCCATATTCCAGCCCCTGCATTTTTTAAAGAGGTTCATCGTCGGCCATGGACAGACAACAGGAGCAGGAATCCGATAACTCGAGCGAAGTAGCATATCTCCGGGAAGATCAACTACGTGCACAGCATCATCGCCCCCCAGCGTAAGCAATTACTGTTGTTGGAGCAAGAAAAACTTCAACGATGGTCGGCAATCTTGCCTGCAATTTTTAATAGCCAAGTAGTGGCAGCTCCAATGAGACGAAATTGTATATATAGGTATAGAGAAGGAAGACATGAAGAGTTGTGGTCGGACTATTTATCTGAGATGCCTCGATTTCCTGAGTCATATTTTAGACAAAGGTTTCGAATGGGACGGGAACAGTTTACCAAAATTTTCACAGAGGTATGCAATAACTATCCTTATTTCAGTCAGCAAGTTGACTAAACAAATCGTAGAGGTCTTTCGCCTCCTCAAAAAATTATGGCAGCTGTGTGAATCCTCGCATATAATTTTTGTTTCGATAGCATTGATGATGCTATAAAGATAGGAGAAAGTACAGCAAGAGTGGCTATGTTAAAGTTCTGTGAAGCAATTATCAATACTTTTAAGGAACAATATTTGCGTGACCCGACCACCGACGACTTAGCACGATTGTTAGCTGAAAACAAAGAACGTGGATTTCCGGGGATGATAGGCTCTCTGGATTGCATGCACTGGCGGTGGGATGCATGCCCTGTGGTGTGGAGAGGCCAATACAACGGGCGCTACGGCTACCCAACATTGATATTAGAGACAGCTGCTTCCCAAGACCTATGGATATGGCATGCATTTTTTGGAATGCCTGGTACCAATAACGATGTTACAGTTTTGGATTATTCACCCTTGTTCAACAGATACATGGACGGAACAGCGCCGCCGATCGAATATGAGGTGAATGGGAGGCAATACAACCTCCCATACTACTTGACGGATGGTATATATCCCAAGCATGCAGTTTTCATGCAGGCAAAAAACAATCCGGTTACTGCCAAAGAACGAGCGTTTACTACGTTGCAAGAAGCTTGTCGCAAAGATATCGAAAGAGCATTTGGCGTACTCCAACAAAAATGGCGTATTTTGGCCATGCCCGCTCGAATGCGAAAGACAAGCGATTTGCTACGTGTAATGACTACGTGTATTATTCTACACAATATGATTGTCGAAGATGAGTGTGGTCACAATCTTCCCGTTTGGACACCACCAATTGAAGAGAATCAAAATTTCCCCGAGCATGAGCAGTCAGTTGAAGATGTTCGTCTCTTATATCGCATTAGGATGGGTAGAATTCGTAATTCTGAAACTAATGTAAGACTATGCGATGATCTCATTAATCACCAGTGGATGAGATCGGGTGGGGAAAACATCTAGTGATATCGTGGTGTCCTGTTCCCGGATCTCAACAATCAGATAATTTTGTCAATATATATATATCTGGTGTATCCATCAGCCATGTTATTTATTTGTGTTGAAGCAGTTTGTATTATGTTTTTTACTTCCGAATAATTGAATTATCTGTAAAAAGGAATTGTGCAGATGAAATAATTTTCATATAAAAATAGTATATTAAATTAATAATTGGAAAAATATATATATAATATAATATTTTAAATAAATAATACCATATATTAATTTAGTATTTTAAATATAAAAAATGCAATTAGATACAAAATATGATATTATACTTATAAATTATATAATTATAAAATAAACATCTCATCAATATAATTTACTATATAATTTCATCTATCACAGTAAAATTATACCAACTTTTTATAATAATTTTTTTTTTTAGTAACTATAATACCTAGAAAAATGACATATATTAAAGTATTCAAATACAAACACGTATTTTTATTTTTTGGTCTAATTCCAATTTCCAAATAAATCATTGCGAGGGATTGTATACTAGCTTGACACCAATCCTTGGGTAAAACTTAAACCTCTCAAAAGTTTATATATTTACTGGATATACAATAAACACTAAGTAGGTCCCAACAACTAGAATTAAGACCTACTTCAAAAAACTTTATAGCCTACTCATAAACAAAATTAAGTTAGTTGCTTAACTACTCTAATATATATATATATCAAAGATAGACTCACCATATTAGTATGTAAACGTATTGGCGTTTCTGCAATGAAACATTGCATTAGTCAAAAGGTAGTAGAGTTTAAACGATGGCACCCTGTGATAACTTAATAAGAATTGCATATTTTATGCATTAAATTTTACTTATAAGATGCAAAAACATCAATTGTGATAATGTAATTTAGCATGAGATTTTCAGGTTGCATAGGACACCTTAGGCTAGTATGAAACATAATTTATCACTCAGAATATATACATCAAATGTAGGTTGTTTCCTCGTTAAATAATGGACTGAAAGCAGTGAGGACAATCTAAGTGAAAACATTAAATACATTTAATTGACTTCAATAATCCAATTTAGGTACAAAGTTACCTGGTTCAGAGTTCTGGAAAAACCATTACGGAGACTATAGATTTGGTTTAGAGTGAAAAAGATACATAATAGACAAAAAAAGCCAACAAAACATCATAGTCATAATCAGGTTACGGTGAAAACTTAATGAAGCATATCTTTAATGAAGCAGGAAACTGTAAAATCATATATAAAAAAAAATGAAGTAGTTTAAAAAATACATATCTTAATCGCGTATCCAAAAAATGTAGTGAAAATAGCATATCTCAATCGCATATCTTGATGAAGCATAAAAAATAAAGCATATCTGAAAATCACATATCCCAATCGCAAATGACATTCTAATATGCAGAAAATTGTAAAATCGATCCAACTTAGTAACAAACACTACCAAATTTGTATGGACATATTGCAGAGATAATGACGAAGAAGGGGAAAAAATAGTTTCACCGCACTGACTGAAAATCAAATCAAATCCATAATCGAGTTTAAAATTAAAGAGAATGTTGAAGCTTACCTCCATCGCGGCAATCCTTATTTTATCAACAATAAAACCTCATTTGTTTATCCCATATGAGCAGATTGAGGAAGAAGATAAATGAAATCGAAACCGGAGAGAACAGTACTGGAGGAGCAATTTTTTCGTAGAGTTTTGGAAGAAGAGGAAAGGGCGTCATGTAATTTTTTATCTATCTTCGTACCTGTAAAATAAGACTGTTGGATGAATTTAATAAAATACTCAATTGCAAATAATTTATGGGCATTGACACGTAGACATCAAGAGACAATTTTCTTAATTGGCATTGCAATTGCTCTTATAGTGATATAAAATGTTATTTAAAATAATTAAAAAAGCAAAAAGTAATTGTCCGTTGACATTCTCTATGAACACTAACAACTTTTGTCATATTAAGGTAACATAATTAATTACCTAAAGTAAAAATGATTTATATTTATATTTTAAAAAATTAAAAAATTATTATATGTAATGCAATAGCTAATCCAATTGCACAACTAATCAAATTATTTTTTAAGAAAATAGCTAAAAATTCTTACTTTATACTCAGTGGTCTTTACATCATATATGATGAGGAATAAAAAAAACTGCCGTATAATAATTACTTTAAACATATTTATTCTAAATATATATATCAAAACAATTACCACAAATCTATATTATTATAAAATATTTATATAATTTATAAGACATGCATAAAATATATATATAGATAAGATAAGATATACTAATAATTTTAAAAATATTATACTATATACTATGAATTTATAATATTTAAATCAGTATGTACGTACAATTATATATGAATAACAAAATAACATAAAATATAATAAATAATCAAATTTATTATACAAATATCTAAAATATATTAATAAAAAGACTATATCAAACGATCAATAAATAATAATTATTAAAAATTAATTGTTTGTATTTAAATTATATTATACTATATTATATCTTATAACCAATAAAATAAATAAATAAAAAAATTTAAAACACTTATAGAACAAATGCAATGACCAAAATGACCAATCAAAAATTTAAAAAAAAAAAATTCAAAATTTCTATAAATTTTTACTTAACATTTTGATTGTTTGTATTTAAATTATATTATACTATATTATATCTTATAACCAATAAATAAATAAATAAATAAATTCAAAACTCTTATAGAACAAATGCGACGACCAAAATGACCAATCAAAAATTTTAAAAAGCAATTCAAAATTCATAGAAATTTGTACTTTACATTGTTTTGTATTTAAATTACATAATACTCCCTCCGTCCCACGTACCGTGTTTGCTACATTGTAGATATGATATTTTAGGAGGAATATAATTAGTAGATAATTAAGAATGTATTAGTGAAAATAATTAAAAAAAAATTCAAAACTCTTATAGAACAAATGCAATGACCAATCAAATATAATGACCAATCAAAAATTATAAAAAAAATTCAAAATCCCCAAAAATTCTTACTTTAGAGTTCAAATATATATAAAAGATAAGATTTGTATATAGTACAAATAATAAAAAAAAATAAGATAAAAATACCCTTTGTACTATGTAATACTCTCTCTGTACAACATATAATGTCACACTTTTTATTTATGTATGTCGCATGTTAATGTCTTTTTGAAAAATAATTATACATTTTAATTATTTTTTAAATTTTTTTAATTTATAATTTTTTAATTTTAATTAGACTAGTTAGTTATCTTAATCTTTATATATACTAATAATTTGTATTAAATTATAATTAATTTTACTAATATATTTTAATTATCTACTAATTATATTCCTATATTTTCGTACCTATCGCAATTAAGGCATAATATCGGCGACATGAAAAATATAAAAGTAATAATATTTGTTTAATATATTATAAATTATAAGAGTATTTTTTATATTAAGTAGATAGCATAATTACTTTAAAAAAAATAAAATAAGTACTTTATTTTAGGATGAAAAAAGAAAAAAGAAAAAAAGAACTTTTGTTAAGCTGTGAATGGAATATAAATATTATCTATTCACTAATAATAGACTTTTTTACTATTATTTAAGATATTTATAAATAATAGAGATATTTTATTATTTAATAAATATGATTTATATAATATTAATATAATATTTCATGATTTTATAATTATAAAAATGATAAAATATTCATTTCAAGGTATATATTTTACTGACATGAGCTATTGCAATGCAATACATTGATATTTTTACAATTGTATGTCATTTTTATTAAATATATAAAAGGTGTGTTTTTTTTATAAAAATAAAAAAAGATGCATAGGTTAAAATAAATAATTATTTTTTAAAAATAAAAAATAATAATGCACGGAAGTTCGTGCCTTTGTTTTTATTTTGAAAAATAATTTATAGATGAGGCGCGAACAACAATATATCATTTTTATTTAAAAAAATAATTTATGGAATAGGCACAAGGGGGAGTTGGATTTAAATCCATGTCAGATAAATTCACTTACAATTCAGTCCCCATTAAAAATGAATTAGTCTGCACTCCCTACTTTATGAATTATGTATGTTATGGCTCCCTATTTGTATTTATTCCTCAATTATTGTTGTATACGCAATAAGTACTCGAAATAAATTGATCAATACTTCCAATATTGTAATATATACCTATATTACTTCCCGCTCTACCTCCATTATAATCATATATACTTCTAGTTAAATATCGCGTACTTTTTTTGCGAATTAAAAAAAAATAAAAAAAGAAAAAGATATTTACCCACGATTTAACAGGGGTTGATGAAGAAAATCTCTTATAGCTTCTCTTACCCCAATTATAAACCATACCTCTCTCTTCTTCAGACAAATCGATACTCTTCAACCCTTGGCAATCAAGTAGCGATCGGTTGGTGCAAAAATGCTGAAGAAAACAGTTGATCGCTCCCATCCCCGAGACAAGCTTGAAAAAGTAAGTTCCTGACTGGACTTTTTTCGATTTTTTATTTTGTTGATACTAATATTTTATACTATAGTTTGTTCGATTATTTGGGGTGTAACTCTTGGTCTTGTGTTTGTATGTCTCGGTTCGGTGTTGAGGAGCCCTGTGTGATCGATGTAGTTGTGTTTGTTAAACAGGTTTAAAATCGTTCGTATATTTGCCCACGTAGACCGGGTTGAATTTTTAATTTTGGCACCGATATTTGGTGATTTTATTTGTTTAATATGTGTTTTTTTTTGTTAATTTTATAGATGTACATTTTGTTTAGTTACCCGTAGTTGCATATTTTAGTTTTTTTGTTTGATTGTTCAATAATTAGTCATGTTTGTGGGTTGACAAATGTGGTATTATTAAGTACCCCGACTTGCAGTTTTAGGTCTAGTTTGCTAAGTAATATACTTTTAGGGACTAATGTATACTCGACATCTGTTGT